TTTAAACTTCAAGAAATAGATAATCCAAGTATTGATATTATTTAAACTGATATGGAACACAGGAATAAAATTATAGTCATATTAAAGTTTGCCAAAGATTACAAATGAAATTAAAATAAAATATATCTCTGGCTCATTTGCTAATATAAATGCTAAACATCTTAATTTGAATATTAAATAAAAACAATATTAAAAGAATTATGCAAGCTGAACAAGTAGGGTTATTCCAGAAATGGTTCCAAATTAGGAAATCCACAAACTTACAATATTAAAGAGTATAACTTTTCTTAAATGTCATATATATATACTCTCTAATGCCAAAAAAACATAATGAATGGTTAAAATCTAAAAGTATGCTTGAATGTAATTAAAGGTCAAAGGAAAAGAGCACTCAGCACCCTTCCTATTATTCAAAGTAGTTGTGGAAATTCAAACCAGTAAAATGACAGCCCCCTATATTTAGAGAGATATACATATGGATATAGCTAGAGAGAGAGAGAAGGTAAATTTATTAGTAACTGATGGTTGTTTACCTGAAAACCCGAAGGAATTGTTTGAAAGGTTATTAGAACTAATTAGAAATAGTAGTGAGATATCTAGCAAAAAATAAATACTTATAAATTACTTCCTTCTTTTATATAGGTAACAACCAAATAGAATATAAGGAGTAAAAATATCATTCACAACAGAAACAAAATCATCCAGAAAGAAATTTAACAAGAAATATATAGGACTTATAAGCAGAAGATTTAAAAGAAGGGGACATAAAAAAATACTTGAAGAAATGGAGGATATAACATTTTATTTAAAAGATTTAATGTTGTGGTGATGTTAATTATCCCTGAATTAGTATGCAAATTTAATGTAATTCCTATCAGTTCCAATGACATTCTTTTTTTTAATTTGACAAGATGTCTGTAAATGTCATGAGACCCACCGAAAGAATATTCTGAGATAATAACAAGAAGGGTGTTTGACACCAGACCAGAGGTGGGTTCGATACCCACCTCTCAGTGCCTGGTAACCACCTTTCTACTCTCTACTTCTATGAATTCAACTGCTTTAGATTTCACATGTAAGAAAGATCATGTGGTATTAGTTCTGTGCCTATCTTATTTTGGAAGGTATTTTAAGGCACACATACGTTGTAGTGTCATTATGTTGTAATTTTTCCTGACCTGATGTCCCATGTCTGTAAAATCCTTCTATTGAAGCCTAGGCTCTTTCCCTAGGACTCCCTGTCTGAAATAATAAATATCTTACCTCTGTATTTAACAGAATTGTTCTGTCTGCATATAGTCCCCACTTTTTCTTCAAGTAGTTTCTCAAACAAATGCAGTTTTTTTCCTGAAAGGATGAATACAAATTTAACAGCTTTAAATCTTTATATATAGATATATTTTAAACCAAACGACTCACATTGTACATGGTTTTATAGCCGTCTTTAATACTTATGAACGATATTGTATAATTATTCTAATTATTATATATTACTCTACAACACCATTTTTAGTGGTTGTATATTAGTTATTACTTGGATAGTCCATAACCTACCTAATAAAGTCCTTAATATCTGGAATTAAAGTGGTTTCACATTTCAGCTGTTAGCAAAAACACTACAATGCACGATCCTGTACACATGAAAAGAAATGAGAGGAGGACTTCACTGACTTCAAAGACAGCTTGCAGATTCAGATCTTCACATCGACACAAGAGACAAGATTTGCAGATTTGGGTAAAAGGCTATGCACGGTTTTAAGCCTTTCAGTACATATTGCCAAAGTGTCCTCCACTAAACTTTGATCATGACCTGTGGAGTGAGTCACAACAGTGACTCTTTCTTTGAGTTTATATTACTACTAGGTTTTGTCAATTTGCCAATCTAATAGGCAAAAATGGCATTTTGTTTGCATTTTAAAGTGTATTTATCATGTTATAAGTGAAGCTAAACTTTTCATATGTTCACTTGACTATTTCCATTTTTCCTTTGTAAATTATTTGTTCATAATTCTTTACCATTTCTCTACTTGGTTGTTTACCTTTTTATAATTGATGTATAAGAGTTGTTTTTATTATTTTTCCTCTGTGGTTTGTCTTCGGATTTGTATGTAGAAAGGTTTATTTGTAATTATTCAATTTTATCAATCTTGTTCATAATAGCATTTGCCTAAATCACCTAGTTCTTTTATTGTTTTATTTTTGACATTTAATCTTTGATACACATGTCATGAGGCAGAGATCTAGCTTAGCTTTTCAGATATTTGCCCTATGAATGAATAATTCAGTTTTCTGTGTCTTGAAATTCCATCTTTATCACTGCAAATTTCTTACAAAAACTTGTATCTATTTCTTGGGCTTTCCCCCATTTTGCTCTAGGGATCTGTGTCTCTATTCCTGCATCATTTCAATTATTTTGCATTTTAAATGCATTTTAATATCCCTTCTGTTTTTGTGCCATAAAATACCTTCCAAAATAAGCTAGGCACAGAAGAACTAATATCACATGATCTTACTTACATGTGAAATCTAAAACAGTTGAACTCATAGAAGTAGAGAGTAGAAAGGTGGTTACCAGGCACGAAGAGCTGGGGAGATTTGGTCAAAGGGCACAGAGTTTGAGTTAGACAGAAGGAGTAAGTTTCAAAGATCTATTCCACAGCATGATGACTATAGTTGATAATAATGTGTATTTCAAAATTGCTGGCTAGGCACAGTGTCTCATGCTTGTAGCACTTTGGGAGGCGGAGGTATCCAAATTGCTTAAGCCTAGAAGTTAGAAATTAGCCTGGGCAAAATGGCAAAACCCTGTCTCTACCAAAAAATACAAAAATTAGCCGGGTGTGGCAGCACATACCTGTAGTCCTAGCTACTGGGAGGCTAAGGTGGGAGAATGGTTTGCACCCGGGAGACAAAGGTTGCAGTGAGCCAAGATCACATCACTGCACTCCAGTCTGGGTGACAGAGCCAGACCCTATCAAAAATAAAAGAAAGAAAAGAAAAAAAAGTTACTAAAAGAGTAGATTTTAAATATTCTCACCACACACACACACACACACACACACACACACACACACACACACACACAGAGACATAGACACAAACAAGTATATGTGAGGTGATGGACACGTTAATTAGCTTAATTTAATTATTTGCAACAGAAACATATATCAAAACACCACATTTTACCCTATAAATATGTGCAATTATTATTTGTTCATAAAAATAACATCAAATTTTAAAAAATATATTCACTGTGTTTTTGCAGCCACACGTAGGCTGGAACCTGCTTCACATTTTGGCTCCAACATTCTAGCTTAGTCACATTAAGCTCTAGCTTAGCTAGCACATCCAAAACAACCTCTAGGAGGCCAAAAGTCAGAGGACACCCATGATCCTGTGCTCTTAGACAACTTTTAAATGTATGATAGGAGATAGGCAGAGGAAAACATAGGTAATAACGGGATTATCCTGTTCTTTCCATACTTCAGTGGTTCTCAACTTATTTATTTGCAGCAATTTTTAAGATTTTTTTTTCTTGGCACACTTGAAAAGATTTTACACCACAGCCTATACTAAACAGGCTAGCAATAAGTAAAATTCAATCACTACCTAAAACGTAAAAGAGACTCACTGTGTCTACAAAAACATTGACTACAATTGCCATAGTCACACGATTCCCATTAGCTTTCTGTCACTGTTTTGGGAAGAGCTGGTATATCAGTTAGGATTTCTAGCTATAAAAGACAGAAGAAATAAAATAACAGGATCTCAAACATAGATAGTAGTTTACTTCTCTCTCAGGTTAAAAATCACGAAAGTAGGCAGTCCAGCATTTATACGATGACTCCGTAATCCACAGAAACCTGGGTTCCTTTCATTTTGCTACTCTGACCTCCTCAAAATAAGACTCCATCTTATCTCGTGGTCCAAATTCCAGCCAGTATAGAGGACACAGGGAAGAAGGGAAGGCCAATTCCTTTAAAGACACTTTCCAGAAGTTGCACAAGATACTCCACTTACATCCTCTGGCCAGAAGTTAGTAACATGGCTGTGCCTGGTTGTAAGGAAAGATGAGAAGTGAAACCTTTATTGCAGGTGGCCAATGGCCCAGTTAAAAGTAGAGGGTTCCATTACTAATGAAGGAGAGGAAAGTGGATACTGGGGATGGCACCATAGTCTTTGCTACAAATAGTTACTGCCCTGATCATATTTCTTGCATAATCAAGAGGAAAAGTTCTTAACTCTTGCAGTTACTGCCTCATCGTTATATGGCATTCCATTTTACCCTTTAATTTTTACTTGGTCAAGTTTAGCCCTGCTGTACACCAGAACACATGAATAGCTTTGCTCAGGATTCTTTGTGACATTGTTCACAGTAACATTATAGATACCTAAAAAATTTTTTAAAAGACAAAATGTTCTACATTTTGTGGCCTACTCTAGACAGTTTTATGGCAAAGTGGGTGAGTACCCCTGCCTTTTACATTTCAAGTGTAGGGGTGTTTAGCTGTCTCCTCTGGCTCTCATTTACTGACTCTTCTGAGTAAACCCATTGTTCTTTCCTTTATGCAAGAGACTATCTGAGCACCCAAAGCTTGAAAGTCTCTAAGCTAGGTGCTATAGTGTTATGTATTTCAGTAAGACATTTTCCCTACTTAATTCAGGAGTTTGTCATTTCTTTGCTGGAAGTACACATGGATAAAATAACTGCAAGGTTTCCGAAAGACTTAAATACAAAAATGTCCCATGAAGAAAAAGGGAAATATCTCATTCAGTTGTGAGTGATTAGGAATAAAAATGAATTAGAGACGTCAAAATATAAGCTTGTCCTTAAAAAGAAAGGACTAATTTGCAGATGGAGATGGGGTTTCTTCCTTCTGAGGTCTGCCATGGTGTAATCTGTCCTGTAATGTCTAGTGTCTACCTGCTATTATTTTCTAAATGGTGAGTTAAATGGGAAATATGTGTAGAGTACAATCATTTTTTATCCTTTGCTTTAGGTTTCGACTCATTGGTTCCCCATCTACTACTTGTCTCGTCTCAGGCAATAATGTCACATGGGATAAGGAGGCACCTATTTGTGAGAGTAAGTTGAAATACTTTTCTCCACAAATTTCTCTATGTGATCCTGACTTGCCCCTGGAGTATGAAGAATAAATTGAATCCTTCTTGCACGAAGTAGTCGCTCAGATAGTTGAAAATAGGAGTCAGATGCTTCATGGTCTTCCTGGCTTTTCTTTATCTTAAAAGGTGATTTATCTGAAACTGTGGGCTTGAACCCAGGCAAAATAGCTCTACTTTCCTATTACAATAGTAAACCTTTCCAGTATAGAGAGTATTGTCCTTAATGAGTACATTTTAAAGGCGTTAGACAAAATTAGATCTATCTTTGCCAACTCTTACTATCTATCAGGTTACAATTCCACAAAGTAGGCTACTCATTTTCTTATTATTCTAATCCAAATAATAAAAAGAACTCTTCTTACAGTTCTTAGCAATTTCCCTAATCCTCTGGTCATTTTGAGTTCTAATCCTCCTTCAATTCTTTTAGGCTCATGTCTTTAGTTGTATTTGTTCTTGATTAGCTGACCCTCCATTTTTCCCATAAGATATTTTTAAATGAATCTCCAAAACTTTAAAAACATGAAAGAATGATTGCAAATTGGCAAAGTGTTATAGCTGTGAAGAAATCAGCATCACACACAGAATTGATGGCAGCAAAAGTAGGCACAGACTTCCAGAAAGCTAATGGCCAATATAAACAAAAGCCTGAAAGTCAACACCCTCTGACACATAATTCCGTTTCCCAGAATTTAGCCCAAGAAAATAATCATGAAATAGTCCCATAATTTTGGTCCAGAGATACTCAGTGCAATAATATTTGGGATAGTGGAAAATGTTAAACAACCTAAATGTTCAGCATGGTTTGAAAATAGCTAGTAGAAAAAATAAGTTGTATTTTAATGGCTATAAGTTTTTAAAAAATGTAAAAAAGTACACCATGAGGAATTAAAGGTTGAGATGCCTCATCCAAGTGGGAAGAGCATATCTGTGAAGCTACATGACTGATTATTATTCAGCCACCAAATATGGTAGTGTAGAACACACATCCATCCATACATATGCATGTATCCACATAAGTATCTAAGAGGATATAATTAAATTGTTACAAATAGTTATGTTTGAACCATCTTCATTTTCTTCTTTCTTTTTGTCCATATTTTTTAAATTTCCTCCAATGAATGTGTTCATTGTATTTACTAATATTCCTCCCCGCTAAATTAATATTGACTTTTAAAGATTAAATGAATGAGAATATATACAAAGTGCCTCCCATACCTGCCAAGAACTTGCAATTCTGTGAAATAATTCAAATTATCAAAGAATTATCAGTTTACTATACGAAGTTTTCTAGGCATGACACCTTTTGTAATGAAACTGCACATTGTGCACATGTACCCTAGAACTTAAAGTGTAATAATAATAGTAATAATAATAAAACCTTGAAAACATAAAAAAAGAAAGGAATGCAAAAAAATCTTACCATGACATTAAATGTTCTTTGAAAAATGGTTTTTAATGGGAGCATTATATTCCAAAGTTTGTATATTCAATAAAATATTTAATCATTCTTCTAAAAACAAATTTTACACTTCTACATTTATAGGTCAGTAATCATTTAATTGAGTCAACACTAGTTATGTGTGTATGTGTGTGTAGTCACTTAGCCAATATGTGAATACTATTATCTTATGACAGAACACAGTGTTCATTTATCATTTTATTGCCCCTACATCTGCCATTATTTCATTTTTCATGCCTTATCTTTTGTGTTTCCTTTGCTCTCTTTTTCTTGATAAATAATGCCAGAAGTGGTATATTTAACCTGCAAAGAGGTTACTTTAATAACCTATAGGAGAAAATGTCCAGCAGTAGATAAGTACCTTAACAATCTGTGATAAAATCACATGTATTATCCACTTAAAATTATAAATATGTAAACCAAAAAATACATGCTTTTTTTGGTGAAATACTTAACTATGAGCAGAACCAGTATCATACACACCTAAATTTCAACTAGGTAAAAATGTCTGATTATTAGCAAATATTTTAAGAAAATAACAGTACTGTAATTCCATTTAGAAAATTATTGGATTATTTGCATTTGGTATTTCAATTCATAGTAAAATAATTCATTATTTAAAAATAAGCTGTTTTACCACACTCTTCCTTCTCTCAGTCATATCTTGTAAGCCACCTCCAATCATATCCAATGGAGACTACTACAGCAACAAGAGAACATCTTTTCACAGTGGAACAGTGGTAACTTACCAGTGCCACACTGGACCAGATGGAGAACAGCTGTTTGAGCTCGTGGGAGAACGATCAATATATTGCACCAGCAAAGATGATCAAGTTGGTGTTTGGAGCAGCCCTCCCCCTCGATGTATTTCTACTAATAAATGCACAGCTCCAGAAGTTGAAAACGGAATTAGAGTACCAGAAAATAGGAGTTTCTTTTCCCTCAATGAGATCGTGAGATTTAGATGTCAGCCCGGCTTTGTCATGGTAGGGTCCCACACTGTGCAGTGCCAGACCAACGACAGATGGGGGCCCAAGCTGCCACACTGCTCCAGGGGTGAGTGTGAGCCATCAGTACTTTGCTGGGTGTGAGGGTACATATAGATGATAGGAGTTGCTGAAATTAAGGAAGAAGTGTGTAAGGAGTATGAAATTGGCATAAACACTTTAAGTATTATAGTAGCTTCACTGTCTGTTATCTCTGTTAACACTTGTCTCAAAGTAATGGCTTATTCTCTCATCTATATTAGACATATTTTATATGCATTTTTAAATTTACCATTTACAGCGAATATATGAGGTAGCTACTATTGGTATCCCCATTTTACTTTGAGAGAACTGAGTCTTAGTGATATTAAAGAACTTTTCCAAGGCTCTGACTCCGGAGCCTAATGATCATGTACAGTGGAATGTCTAATGAACAATAATGAGTAATAGTGATGATCGTATCTCTATCCCTGGAGTGGGGCAGTAGGCAAGTGAGCCATGAGGACCAAAATGAGAGCATCAAATCAAAAAGGCCTTGGACTTCAGCTCTTTCACATTATAACTGAAAAGACTGAAGCTCAGAAAAAGTGTTTCGCTCAAATACAAACAAATATATCTATATATACATATATACTTGATATATAATTATATATGGTTCAGATTAGGCTCAAATTCATTCTTGGAGGTTTGTTGATTATTTTGTTTGTTTGTTTGTTTGAGACAGGGTCTCACTCTGTTGCCCAGGCTGGAGTACAGTTGTACAATCATAGTTCACTGAAGCCTCTAACTCCTGGGCTCAAGTAAGACCCCTGCCTCAGTCTCACAGGTAGCTGGAACTCCAGGTACACACTACCACATCTGGCTAATTTTTATTTATTTTTAGAGACAGAGTCTTGCTATGTTGCCCAGGCTGATCTTGAGCCCCTGTCTTCAAACAATCCTCCTGCCTCAGCCTCCCAAAGTACTGGGATTTCAGGCCTGAGCCACCATGCCTGCATTTTGATGCCCTGAGAACACACCAATTGTCCTGTGCGTAGAGACAGCCAACATTTCGGTTAAAATATGGTCTAAGCAATAGATTGTATCACTAAAATGTCTATAGCTTTTTTTTTTTCTTTGGGGGCAGTTGTTCTTTTTGTTTATTTTTAATTTATTACTCTTTAATTTTTGTGGGTACATAGGTGTATATATTTATGGGGTACATGAAATGTTTTGATACAGGCATGCAATGTAAAATAATTATGGAGAATGAGGTATCCATGCCCTTAAGCATTTATCCTTTGTGTTACAAAAAATCCAATTACACTCTTCCGTTTTTAAATCTACAATTAAGTTATTACTAACTATAGTCACCCTGTCACGCTATCAAATACTACGTCGTATTCATTCTTTTTTTTTTTGTACCCATTAACTGTCCCCACCTCCCCTCCCTACCCTCACCCCCTGCCCCTGTGACTTTGTTCTTGATGCCTCCTCTCTTTGTTTAGCTGAAATGACTGGCTTAACACAGAGTGGGAAGAATTAGAATTGGTCACAGGGACAGAAAGGAAGCTAACAGTTCAGCCTTGTGCTGACTGAAAGAGGGACAGGGAGTGAGGAAAATGAAGACTAGGTGAAGGTGTCTGTTAGATGAGACCTTGGCAACAGTACCCCTTGCTGTTGCCTTACGCATGAGCTTGAGGGATTGCCTCTGTAGGAAATGGAAGAGTGGCCAAGCCACCAACACTCACGACTCTGTGCTCCATAACCAGCAGTTGAAAGCAAGAAGAATATGCTGCCTTGTAGTCTTCGGAACATGTTTCAGTAGGAAAAAAACACAGACAAGGTGTTGGAGAGACTTTGATTCTAGTCACAGTTCTGTTTGGTATCCTTGGTTTCCTTGTTAGTGACGTGCGGCTACTGAACTATCCATCTTCTCTTTTAATAGCTGCCCTCTGCAATGACGATTTTTAAGCTCTCTGGCAAGCATAAGACGTAGCAAAGGAAATTCCCCCAAAATTAACAAGTGCTCTGGAACTGTCCTTTCCACAGTGTGTCAGCCACCTCCAGAAATCCTGCATGGTGAGCATACTCCAAGTCATCAGGACAACTTTTCACCTGGGCAGGAAGTGTTCTACAGCTGTGAGCCCGGCTATGACCTCAGAGGGGCTGTGTCTCTGCATTGCACGCCCCAGGGAGACTGGAGCCCTGAAGCCCCCATATGTACAGGTGCCTTGACTCTCTGGCTTCCAGATTGCTCTGTTTCCCCCTCACATGGAGGTCTTACTCCTGTTGTTTTATTTTTTTCTTCTAGTGAAATACTGTGATGAATTCCTGGGCCAACTCCCTCATGGCCGTGTACTGTTTCCACTCAATCTCCAGCTTGGAGCAAAGGTGTCCTTTGTTTGCGATGAAGGGTGAGTGTGACCCAGGGTTGAGACCAAGGACTCTGTGGAGAATCACTCTCCTGAGTTCAGGGGTTAATCCAAACCAGGAGCTGACCTAGTAGGTAAGAAGTACCCAGAGAGATGAATTTATGGAAGGGTAGTTTTGAAATAAGGATAGGGACTAAGTGTCACCACTTTCAGAAGACAATGAGAAAATGGCACATACAGCTCAATGTCAGGTACAAACCTAAATACAGTCACTGATCTTGAGTACACAGTTGGAACTTGAAGTGAATGGGTATGTATTTATTTGGAGGCAAAAGAACATAATTTTATAAAAGCTGTGCTAGAAAAAAAAATGAGGAATAAGACAAAAATTGTTTGTCCCATGATAAGGAAGGCAAAGGTCGCTTAGGAAACTTAAAGCCAATCAACAGTGGAATCTGTAACAGTGCATGGGTAAGTGTGTTTTCACCCAATAATGTATCTTCAGGTCAGGAATGGCCAGTGTAATTCTTTTAATGCAGGATTCTTCTCGCCACTTTGCCAGCCAATGACTTCCGGCCAGCAATGCCCCTGCCCAGGCCTTGCATGGGCCCGGGCTCACCACAGGAAACACCACATCTACTCGGCCCACCAGGCAGCGCCTGGCTGGTGCTCTGACTCAGACCCCGGGGCCCCCACAACTGCACACTCAGCCCCTGGTGGGAGGGGGTGTGTGAGTGAGCGAGTGTGGGGTCCAGCTGGCCACTCCAAGCACCTGCACAGGGATGGGCTCCGAGCAGTGCTTGCAGCTGGACCAGGCATGTCGCACTGAAGGGAATGTGGTGGTGCCCCAACAGGGGTGCCCACGACCCCGAAGCCCAGAGGGGGTGTTACAGCACGCTAACAGCTCGTAGCATTTGATAATGCCCGCAGCCCAACAGATGGCGGTGTGTTTAACAGCTCTGTCAATCCTGTAGCCTCGCTCAGGCCTGCATCTCTGGGGCTGGCTTGACCCACTGCTGCTTCCTGTCACGTGGTGCAGCTGCCCTCCCATAGCAGAGGGCGGAGGGCCACAGTGTTACAGGCTTCTTTGTACCTGTATTTGGTGGGTCCTGAGTTCTTGTCCCACATCCAAGAAATATAAGGTTATGCTATCAATGGAAGGGTGAGGAGGGCAGAGAAGAGTTTTATTGAGCAACGATCTTAGCAGAGAGGAGACACGAGCGTGGTCCCCCAGATGAAGTCAGGGGGTCTCTCTCTCTCTCTCTCTCTCAGTGTGGCTGGTTCTGGGGCTTTTATGGACTCAGAATGGGGAGCCTGTGCTGATTGGTTTGTGAGTATGCAAAAAAGACTAAAACAAAGACACCACTCAAAGGTGGGCACAGCAGTGTAAAAAACCAATTAGGGAAGTGCAGGTATATGTAAAACAGATGAAGAGTGAGGAGCAAGCAGAGGAAAGCACACCAAACAGGAAGAGAGGTTTTCAAGCCAGTGCATGGATTTACCTGGAACTTGTAGCGAGGCTTTAAACTGTCTTCAACTTGAAGGTCGGGTTTCATCGGGATCCGCCCCATCTGCCTAGGGTTTGTCTGCCTCCTGCTTCTGTCAGTTTCAAGCGGTATTATTAGTTGTTTATGTGTATCCATTACTCTTGGTGGTGTGCACTATGAGTCTGGAGGGATAACCAGATTGGGCAATTAAGCAGTTATTTTTAATGATTTCCAAGGAATCTTTGGCATTTACAAAGTCCACCATCCAATAATGATGTCTAATTTCAGAATGATTTCAGATTTCAGAAGGGAAGCAGGATTCACTAATCAGTTGGGCATTTCAGGGCAGCAAAGACTCTTACCCCTACCCTTCTTTATTTCTTAGAGCACGTGGTTCCGCATGCTTCTGTGAGCCTCCTCTGGCCCGTTACAATTGTAGTGGCAAGAAGAACAGTGCCTACATTCTCTTTCTAGATGTTCCTGGCTTTGCTTACCAAATCAAGAGCTGTTCTGCCTCATGACCCACTAATGAGAATAAGTGGGATGTCAGAGAGCCATCAGTGAAAGATGGCACCTGAAGGTTATGGCTCTTGTGCCCATGGAGAAGTCTGGTTCTGTGTTCATGCCTTCTGTAGATGATGCTGGGCTATGAAGTTTATATGGCAATTATGCACATCAGCTCCAAATGCTTTGCTAGTCATAGGGTACCATGGTTCTTTAGAGTAAATTGGCCTTTGAGTTTCTGCCAGCTACTGAAGAATTCAGATTCCCAGTGAACTAAGACTTTAGCTGGGCCTGAACCTAAGAACCAAATGATAGTCAAGGAGGAAAATGGTAGTGAGGAAGCTGAGCATCTGTTAGTAAAGAAATCAAGGGAGAGATGGGAATTGCTCACACATTTGCTACGACTTTTTTTCTTTAGGTTCCGATTAAAAGGCAGGTCTGCTAGTCATTGTGTCTTGGCTGGAATGAAAGCCCTTTGGAATAGCAGTGTTCCAGTGTGTGAACGTGAGTAGAAAGAACTATGTGATTTGGATAACTCTCCTTATTTTTGTTTTCCAGTGTGTTTTTCTGCATGGAATCACCTGTTGTCTGGATCTTTACCTAACTAAATTACGGATAAAAATACTTCTTTGTTGGAAGAATTTCAAGAAGGGTCTTGTAGGTCTTCTCTGACATGTGTTTTTGTTACTAATCTGTAAATCACTTAGTTTAATGACAGTGTTTAATCTTGTGGGGAATGTGAGCAAGAAACTAGATGACATAACGGTGCCGCACATTTTAGTCATTTATTTTTAGTTTTCTTATCAAGGAGGAATCTTTCTTAAATGTTTTTTTTTTTTCTTTTTTGAGACACAGTCACCCAGGACAGAGTGGAATGGTGCAATCACAGCTCACTGCCGCCTCAATCTCCTGGGCTCGCACCTCAGCCTCCTAGTAGTTGGGACTACAGGTGCATGCCACCACACCTGGCTAATTTTTGTATTTTTTGCAGAGATAGAATCTCACCATATTGCCCCAGCTGGTCTCAAACTCCTGGGCTCAAGATATGCTCCTACCTTGGCCTCCAAAAGTGTTAGGATTACAAGTGTGAGCAATCATGCCCAGCCAAATTTTTATGTTCTTTTATCCCCTCACATATCATAAACAATTTAGTCAGCTTCTTATTTGACCTGCAGCATTTAATGACATAGGGCTTCCCATGTGCCAGGACTTTCCATGAGTAGAAAAAGAAACGAATAGCGAGTGAATAGTAAAGACACCTCCCTACTTTCCTGGGGTGTATTTTCTTGAAGCAGACTGTGAACAAGGAAATAAATAAGTAAACAAAATTCTAAAAATTATAATACATAAAATGGCAGTTAAATAGGCATGTTAGAGAGAAAACAAAACAGAGTTACATGATAAATTAGTATGGTGGAAGGAGCTGGGATGATGAATCAGTGTCTGAAATGATGATTAGTGCCCTAAGTTTCCAAACCATCCGCTTAAATAAAATATGCTGAAATTCAGAAAAAATTCAGAAACTCTTAGATAAAAGTACATGTTTGACATACCAAGGCATTACTGATTGATTCTATTCTGTCTACTAAAGCAAGGCAAGAATTTTTCAAACCTTTTTTTCCTGATTATTGGAAAATGTTTATTTTAATTTGTATTGTGTTAAAATAACTTACAGAAATCAATTCAGATACCTTATGGTGAGTATTATGGTGAAGAACATTCAATACCTGAGGAAACTCAAGTATTCAACAAACTCAACCTTACAGAGACACATAAAGCTGAAAATAAATATATAAATAAACTTAGGAAAACACAAACAGGTAAAATTCAAGCATGAGGAGTCAATCATTGTTTGATGTACTAAGTCTTTTTTATATACATAATTCCGATAAACTTGGGCATCTCTTCATAAATTCATATCAAATTAGAAGCATCAAGTGCTTTTAGGGAAGGAACTGTTCTAAGCAGACTAAAAGGAGGAAGAAATGATGGCTAATAAATTGGAAGAAAGAAAAAAGGGCTCTTTGGCACCATTTAATCTGGGTAAAAAGAGCCTTACTGGTGTCTGATGACGCCATTGGAAATTTGGTGTTTGTCCTGATGATAATGGCCTTGAATCACCAAGAAACATTTACATTGCTAAAGATGATAGTTCATGATTATTAACGTTCATAGATTTCCTTGGAACTTATGGTCTCCAATGGCCAAAACTTTGTCTGTCTTGAACCTCATTGTCAACCTAGGAATCTTACTATGCCTGAGTTAAAGTGGGCAACCAAATGGGTCCTTTTGAAAAAATTAAAACAATTACTTTTCAAATTCATAATGAACATAGGTACCTGGGTGGCCCAGGAACACTTTGGGCTTTTGCAATAAACTGTAATTTAGGCCTCACATCAGTTAGTTGCCTCTCAACAAAAGCCTTACAGATTTAAATTCCATCCACCTTAGTTATATTCTTTCTAAACGCACAGTCACAGGTCACTATTATTTCAGTCATCTTAAGTGAAACTCTAATAGAACTTAAAGCTCTTGTTTTCTTTCTAGAAATCTTTTGCCCAAATCCTCCAGCTATCCTTAATGGGAGACACACAGGAGCTTCCCTTGGAGATATTCCCTATGGAAAAGAAGTATCTTACACATGTGACCCCCACCCAGACAGAGGAATGACCTTCGACCTCATTGGGGAGAGCACCATCCGCTGCACAAGTGACCTTCAAGGGAATGGGGTTTGGAGCAGCCCCGCCCCTCGCTGTGAACTTTCTGTTCCTGCTGGTTAGTACCTGCTTCCACATATCCTAAATAGGTTCAGAATATCGAGGTGAGAACCTCCATATTTCTATACTGGCAGTCATTTTTGCTTGTGAAAATGGCTTTGCTATGAATGTCAGAGACAGAACTACCTTGCAAGTGAATGACAAATGGGTTCTAGTAGGCACATTGTGTCTCAGTTGTTGGTATTCTGATGGTCCTTCCTATGGGGTGAGAAGTGTGGGATGGTAAGGAGAGAAGTGGGTGGACAGTGAAGAGAATTGCTGAGGTCCAGATTTTGTAGAGAATATTTTCAAAGTACTGAAAGCAAATGCTAAAGAAAATGCTCTTTTATTCTACGTCCACTACTGTGAGTTGTCTTTATCCTGGATAGATGGATGTGCTGCACGAAAAGTACACGATGATGACATAATTTACTTCAGAACTGATAGTGCTATAAAAGTAATTTAAGAAACTCAGATGTAGGGATTTATACTTTTTATGTTGTTTCCAAGGGTTTGTTCAAGCCACTGACTATGTTTATTTGGTCCTTCACCTCAATATTAATAAAGGGAACTCAGAAGGCCCTGGAGAAGCAGAGTTTAAAATTGTACTCTTAGCCTAATGGGTGCAGCAAACCCACATGGCACATGTATACCTATGTATCAAACCTGCACATTGTGCACATGTACCCTAGAACTTAAAGTATATATACACACACACACACATATATACATAAAAAGAGAGACTGTACTCTCTTTAAATATATACATACATAAAGAGAGTGTGGTGTTTTATATATATATAAAATGTGTGGCTATGACTGCCCACACCAGCTCCATCTTCCAGTAAGGACAGAACAGCACTGAATTGTTAGCTTGTCGATCCCTGTGGTACTTCCCCCATCTGACCCAGTTTGAAGTTAGAGACTGTAAAGGATAGTGTTTAAATGTCAAGAAGTCTAGGTTTAGAGAGTCTGTCTTTCACTGATCAAATAGGAGTGAGTGGCTTATGACCTGGCTGGCTCAGTTCTTCATGAACCTCTAATAGCCAGAGATATTGGATATGTTCATGTGTTCATATGCCTATGTTTAACTGAGTGTCTTTTCTTGTGTTTGTGTGGGAACTTGTTCTTAGCCTGCCCACATCCACCCAAGATCCAGAACGGGCATTACATTGGAGGACACGTATCTCTATATCTTCCTGGGATGACAATCAGCTACATTTGTGACCCCGGCTACCTGTTAGTGGGAAAGGGCATCATTTTCTGTACAGACCAGGGAATCTGGAGCCAATTGGGTCATTATTGCAAAGGTGACTTATTTCTTGGTATTTCTTATTCTTGCTGGGTTGTATGGAACACTGATACATGAGGCTTATAAGGCTGAGAGACCACTGAAATGAGCATAATGAAAGGGATAATATTTTGTCCTCTTGGCAGCTGCTTTCTTTTCATTTACATAAAATTTATTTCATCTTACTAACTGTCCTCTTTGCATAGTCGATAGCAGTGCTTCTCCATCCAGAGCATTGACACAATCAGCTGGGAACCTTGTTAAAAAGTTTCTCAAACTCCATTCCATGGCCTCTGATTCTGTTTTGAAGTGGGGTCAAAAGTCTATTTTTAACAAACTCATCAGAACACTCTGATACAGGAAGACCACAGTCCACATTACAAGAAATACCACTTTGCCTTCTTGTTTCTATCAAGGAAAAAAAATACTGTAGGCTAATTTTGAGAATATTACAACTGAAAAGAAGTCTGTGCTTGAAGATGAAGGACGTGCTGATGGCTGGGCAGAAAAAGAAAGTAAAGCTAAGGATGAGTTGAACAAAATAAAGTAGCCTGTGTGCAGTGGCTCACGCCTGTAATCCCAGCACTTTGGGAGGCTGAGGCGGGAGGATCATGAGGTCAAGAGATCGAGACCATCCTGGCCAACATGGTGAAACCCCATTTCTACTAAAAATACAAAAATTAGCTGTGTGTGGTGGCACATGCCTATAGTCCCAGTTACTCAGGAGGCTGAGGCAGGAGAATCACTTGAACCCAGAGGCGGAGGTTGCAGTGAGCTGAGATTGTGCCACTGTACTCCAGCCTGGCAACAGAACAAGACTCCATCTCAAAAAAAAAAAAAATGAAATAAATTAATCAGAAAGATGTATTTTAAATTTAGGCCTGGCACAGTGGCTCAGGCCTGTAATCCCAGCACTTTGGGAGACCAAGGCGGGCAGACCACCTCAGGTCAGGAGTTTGAGACCAGCCTAGCCAACATGGTGAAACCCCGTCTTTACCAAAAATGCAAAAATTAATCAGGCATGGTGGCACATGCCTGTCGTCCCACGTACTCGGGAGGCTGAAGCAGGATAATTGCTTGAACCCAGGAGGTGGAGGTTGCTGTGAGCCTAGATTGCACCATTGCGTTCCTGCCTGGGTGACAGAGTGAGACTGTCTCAAAAAAAAAAAAAAGAAAGAAAGAAAAAAAGAAAGAAAGATGAATTTTAAATTCAGAATCATGATTTACTAACTTCTTTGTTCTATGTGCAGAAATGGGCCAAAAGTATACATTTAATAAAGAGCAGAGTGCCAGTATTTGTTGTGAAGCCTGGGAGAATTAACATGGTACTCTTGTTTCCTTATAGCATGACCCAAGTGGCTCCAGGGCTAGATCACCGTTAGCCTAATTCCTAATCTTTCCACAGCTTTCCAGTTGCAGAGCTGTTAATCAAAAGTGAATGCACAGTACATTCCATATTCTATTACTTTACATTAAGAAATGGGAGTCAAAACATGTTAAATTATAAGGCTTTTGGAGGAGGAAGATTAGTAACATGTTTAAAAACATACTTTTTCTTAGCCAAGGGCAAAATAGGTTTTGCAGTCATAGATCCGTCTATTCTGCAGTTAAAACCAACAATCAGCCGGGCGCGGTAGCTCGCGTCTGTAATCCCAGCACTTTGGGAGGCTGAGGCAGGCGGATCACGAAGTCAGGAGATCGAGACCATCCTGGCTAACACAGTGAAACCCCGTCTCTACTAAAAATACAAAAAATTAGCCAGGCATGGTGGTGGGCGCCTGTGCACCCAGCTACTTGGGAGGCTGAGGCAGGAGAATGGCATGAACCCGGGAGGCAGAGCTTGCAGTGAGCCGAGATGGTGCCACTACACTCCCCCCTGGGTGAGAGCAAGACTCCGTCTCAAAAAAAAAAAAAAAACAACAATCAACAATAAAATATCAATTTCCTTTTGATTTATCTAATTTCAGAGGTAAATTGTAGCTTCCCACAGTTTATGAATGGAATCTCGAAGGAGTTAGAAATGAAAAAAGTGTATCACTATGGAGATTATGTGACTTTGGAGTGTGAAGATGGGTATACGCTGGAAGGCAGTCCCTGGAGCCAGTGCCAGGCAGATGACAGATGGGACCCTCCTCTGGCCATATGTACCTCTCGTAAGTGCAAGTACAACGAATGTGGGACCTTCCCGTTCATGGTTATTGCTCATTCATTCATCCATATTGGCATCAAGTGTGGTGTGATGTTTATGGCATATGCTACCAGCTATGGAGTACAATATGAGCGTCCACCTCTTCCAAAAATCCCCAAATGAGAGTAAGGCCAGACTTTCTCTTCTCACACCTCTCACTCCAGCTCTGCACCTTTTTTGTCTGTGTCACGTGGTTGCATGAGCCACACAGTAATGATTTATTTACAGCCTACAAGCCTTAAAAGAAATGTTTTCAGCATGAGTTAGGGAGCACCTTCCAAGCTGCAGAGAGCAGCCGGCCTGTCTCCCTCACCACAGTAGGCTACAGGTTTTAAGCTAGCACAACTGGATAGAGCAGATTTAGAAATCATGTATCATTGAGCTCTGTAGATGAGTGGCCCTCTGCTGGCAACTGAAAGGTACTTCAAGATAGAAAATTCTACCCACATCGTGGAGCAGATGAGCAAAATTAATAATGAACAGCCTTTCTTAATCCAAGTTAGTGTTACACTTTCCCCTCTCCCCATCTCTTATGACTTTTATAATACATGGTTCTACACCAAGACTGTTCAAGATCCAGTTTTACAATTAATCCTGTAAATATGCTAATATGACTCACGGATAATATTTCTAAATTATCAGCTTGACACCCCCTTAATATCAAATTATATTCGCTTTTTTGGCAAAAATCTCACTGGATAACTTACTAAATGGCTTTAGAGTATTCTGAAGATCTGGCTGGGACTGACAGAAAACTCAGATAGTTGGGGAACCAACTGTATCAAATATTAGAACAAAATATAAAGCAACAATACAAAAGTCACTTTGCACCAGCACAAGAAGAGACATACAAATAAGTGAATGAAATTGATATTAATAAAATAAAGGGGCCGGGTATGGTGGCTCATGTCTGCAATCCCAGCACTTTGGGAGGCCAAGGCGGATGGATCACCTGAGGTCAGGAGTTCAAGACCAGCCTGGCCAACATGGTGAAACCCTATCTCTACTAAAAAATAAAAAAAATTAGCCAGTCATGGTGGCAGATGTCTGTAATCCCAGCTTCTCAGGAGGCTGAGTCAGGAGAATCGCTTGAACACAGTAGGTGGAGGTTACAGTGAGCTGAGATTGCTCCACTGCACTCTGGTCTAGGCAACAAGAGCAAAACATTCTTTAAAAATTGTCCATTAAATTAACAATAAAAAGGTTGTTAGGTGAACACCCAATGAAAAGCAAGGATGTGATGAAACTGATATTGTTGTGCGTTGAAGGTACTATTGTAAATTTGCAAAAACTCTTACGAAAAACAATTATGCAATGTATGTGAAAAATAATACAACTATTCCTGCCAGTTAGCCCTCCTAGAAATCTAATCTAAGGAAAAATATAAAATATTAAAATATTTTATTAAGCATTTTATTAAGGGTCTCATGAGACAGAAACCTAGAAACAACTTAAATGCAGAATAGAAGCCATTGAATACACTATGATGCATCTACTAGATTATATTAGTTAGCCTTTGCTGTAACTTGTATTTCTAGTGTATAATTAGGTGAAAACACACACACGAGAAAAAGTGCCAGAACAGAATGTATCAAAACATTTTTGGGGTACTAGGATTGAAGTGATTTTTTCTTTAGCTCTGTATTATAAATTTTCTTCTGTAATTGTATTAATATTAATTTTTAAAAGTCTTCTCTGAGTGCAGAAGGTAAAATGAGAGTATGTGAATGAAACCAATGGCTTTTTGCATTAGAAAAAATATTAGACTGAGTCCTGGAGAAAAATTGGAATGACTTGTCACTGGCTGAGAGGTCCTGCTCAATCACATTGCATGCTAGAGTGACTTTTTGTGACTTTTGTCTTCCTTTTAGGTGCACGTGATGCTCTAATAGTTGGTAAGTTTAATGAAAGGTTTGCTGAGGAATTCTGGCATCTTTAACAGTAAGTACCTACCTATAATGAATGAAATGCAAAAAGAGAGATCAAAATATCTTGATTTGTAAAGAGATCAAAATATCTTGAGTTGTAAGTTCAACTAGAAAGAAAATAATGATAAGTTAGGCCACGAGATAGTGAAACTGGCATTGTCATATGCATACTAAACAACCTTCATCAAAGGCTCTTTACTGTCTTTGAACCATTACAAATGAATAATCATTCATCAGTGTCAAAAATTCTTTATTTGAATGTGCTGGGAGAATGCAACTTCCTTCGGTTGTAACCTGAAGTATACTTCCAGATGGTGATCCTGCTCATTTGCACAAATAGAAAGCCACAAGACCAGTCTTCTGAGCCCATATCTTTGGTCTGCCTAAATAAGAATCATTTTGTAATAGAGTCTGCTTCCAACAGAATACTGTGGCATATTATTCCTACATCCCTTTTTACACATCTGGACACTGAGACACAGAGAGTTTATGTAACTTGCCCAAGACCACAGAATAGGGTAGCCTGGGTCTACCTACCTGTGGAGACTGTGCATTTTAACAGTCAATAAATGGACAAAGGACCTACATATATAATTCAACAAGAGAGAAAATTCCAGTATTGTCACAATGAAATGCCTGTGCGTTAAGCCTTAGGCAAGACACACGGGCAGGGCCATGGAGAGCTGGTGGCCAGCTGCCCCATCGCGGTTCTCACTTACTTTTGGAAAAGCTGACGTTGGACTAAAGGTTACCAAACAGCTCAGATCACACCTTAACTATAATAATCCTGTGGGAGTAAGACTAATGCTATAGAAACCCAGAATAAAGCAGAATGTATAGTTACATCTTAAAAAAAAAAAAAAAAAAAAAAGCATTGGCAATCTGTGGTGGGACTGGATACTAAGACAGAATTTAAAACCTATGAGTTATATTCTCCATGCATGTAATTACCTTGTTTTACTGCCTAGGCACTTTATCTGGTATGATCTTCGTTATTTTATTCATCATTTTCCTCTCTTGGATAATTCTGAAGTACAGAAAAGGGTAAGTATAGCCATATTATCCCAAGAAATGTAAACTGTACTTACCCCTGCTTGGAAGTCAAAAGAAAGTAAAAGACAAACAAACCCATTGCTACATAAACAGATGTGGTAATTCTTATAAAGAAGATCCTTGACACACATATAGACAAAGAGGTATTCACACTAAAGGAAGTATATAGGATACTAAGAACAATTTAAAAAAAAAAAAAAAAAAAAAAAAACGCACTTGGGCCAGGTATGGTGGCTCATGCCTGTAATTTCAGCACTTTGGGAGGCCAAGGTGGGCAGATCACTAGAGGCCAGGAGTTCGAGACCAGCTTGGGCAACATGGGAAAACCCCGTCTCTACTAAACACAAAAAAATTACCCAGGAGAGGTGGGACATATCCCTATAATCCCAGCTACTCAGGAGGTTGAAGCACAAGAATTGCTTGAACCCGGGAGGCAGAGGTTGTAATGAGCCAAGACTGTGCCGTTGCATTCCAGCCTGGGTGACAGAGTGAGACTACATCTCAAAACACACACACACACAAACACACACACAGAGACACACACACACAGAGTATTTTAAGAAGGAATTGAGTTTTACAGAAAGAGAAAGTAGGCAGATGGAGCTTTTAAAAAGTTGTTCATGAGGCTACTGATATCCTAGTTTTGCTAAGACATTGCAGACGCCTCCCTCTAAGCCCAGGTCCTATCACAGCACTAGAAGTTAGATTGGGTCACTTATGGCACACATATCATATGGCACACATACCTTATGGCACATGTAGTCTGCCAGTGGGGAATAATTGAGACTTTCCATTGGGTATTTCAATATATAAACAAATATTTTGTAAACACCATTAACTTTTTTTTTTTTTTTAAGACAGAGTCTTGCTCTGTCACCCAGGCTGGAGTGCAATAGCATGATCTTGGCTCACTGCAACCTCCGCCGACCGGATTCAAGCGATTCTCATGCCTCAGCCTCCTGAGTAGCTGAGACTACAGGCATATGCCACTACACCAGGATAATTTTTGTATTTTTAGTAGAGAAAGGGTTTTGCCATCTTGGCCAGGCTGGTCTCGAACTCCTGACCTCAAGTGATCCACCCGCCTCAGCCTCCCAAAGTGCTGGGATTACAGGTGTGAGCTACTGGACCCAGCCATCATTAATTTTTTAAACTTGAAAGAAGAAAAAACTTGCAAAGACTAAGATCTGAATAAAGAAACATCTTTGACAGGGAAAAGAACCTACACAGCTTTTGAACTGGTTGATTAAATTATAACAACATCAGTGAAGCCAGAATCAATAATATCAATGTTATATAGTTGATGAGCAAATTGTATACCCATAGAAAAACTGAATTTGTAACTTTTAAGTGAACAGTTTTCTATAGCAAATATTCTAAACAAATGCAGTTCCCGACAACAAGCTTTACAGAAATTGAAGTTTTGATATTTCACAAAGCTGCCAATATACTTTTTAAAAAGTAGTTTGTCATAGTAGATCTTGCTGTCAACAACCTGGTCAGGAACTCAATTTCGTGGGAAAATACTGAATGAGTAGAGATTTAAATTTAAATTTTTATCCTTCCTAATGTTCTCTATATTTTACGGCTTGACATATATCCTTTGCTCTTCTCCATTACAAAAAGGAAAAGTAAGTAGCTGGGCGCTTTATCTTAACAAAGTACTTGTGTCAATACACTTTTCCTCTTAAAGTTTCTCATTAAGTACCATATATTAGTGAGTTAATTTTTTTTAAAAAATTACTAAATCTGAATTAAAGAAGTTGGGGCTTCTAATTTCCTGTATCTATACCAGTCTCTAGTTGAAACCACACAGGGTAAATGATTATCTCTTCCTCTTGAAAATATTCAAGATACTTCAATATCTTGAAGATATTTGAATATCTCCACCCTTCTAACTATGTCATTCTTCATTCCTTATGGCCCATTCCTTGTTAATCAACTAAAGGGTCAGATTCCCAAGCCTAACTACTGATTTGTTTCACCCACATATTTTAAGATCATTTCCTCATATTAATCATCTTCAGGCATAAACGTGACTCAATAACCATTTCATAAAATTATTTCTTTTGAAATGATTATCTTGTATAGCCTAAGCAACCTCAGAGCATATACAATTTCTTCACGTTTTCCATCTCGTAAAACCTGCCTCCTATTTTTTCCATATTCTTTTAAAGTCTAATGTCCATGGCACAACCATTCTCTCTGACCAGTGGCTACCAGAAATGTGGCAGAAAGAAAGATCATGATCCTTGTTAGACTTAAAGGTCAGGGAGGTAAACCTCCTAAACATCTATGTAACCCACACTAAAACCTATTATATATGTGTAATCCAGGAAAATTTTTAAACATTTTCTAAACTTTTACTTTTGACCTGTTTCACTTCTTGGGACTGTAACTGCCTGAAGGGTTCTTCCTGCCTGTCATACAGACAAAACCAGTTCCCTGAGATCATGGTATATTGCAGTAAAGAAAGAGTTGAATTAACACAAGGCCAGTCATGTGGAAGAACTGGAGTTATCACTCAACTCAGTCTCCTCAAGAACACAGGGGCTACGGTTTTTATAGATCATTTGGTAGGAAGGGAGCTAGGGAATGGGTACTGCTGATTGGTTGGGGATGGGGGTGTGGGAAATGGTCCTCATGTGCTGTATCCACCTCTGGTTGGGGGCCACAGGACCAGCTGAGTCATGAGTCACAGGTTCAGGTAGAGTCAGTCAGTTGTCATATGCAAAAACCTGAAAAACATCTCAGAAGACCAATCTTACATTCTATATTAGTGCTGTTTTCTATAGGAGCAATTAGGGAAGTCACAAATCTCTGAGCAGTAATGGATTATAAAAACTATGCCTATATTTTAGCAGAGTTCAGGTTCCTCTCATAATCCTAAACTCTTGGCCTTTCATTAGCTTTCAGGTCCTGAGCAAGGAGGGAGCTAGTCTTAGGAAGAGACTGTTATTATCCTTGCTCCAAAGTTAAATTATAAACTAAATTTCTTTCATGGTTAGCTTGGCCTACACCCAGGAATGAGCAAAGCCAGCCCACCTGTAAGGCTAGAAGCAAGATGAAGTCAGCCGTGTTAGATTTCTTTCACTCTCATAATCTTTGCAAAGGTGGTTTCAGGATAGTGAGTGCATTTCTCTAAGAAAACACCATTGATTTTCTTGTTAGAAATAACACATAACTAAAATTGGGAAAAAGAAGTAATAAACTTAAATAATCAGAAGGCAGAAGTCCCTTCTCTTGGAAGGAGTTGGGCTGATTAATCATGCAGTCATACCTCCTTGAGTGGGTGTGGCCAATAGCTAAGTCGTTGTGGCTATGTGAGGAGGGCTGATTATTCCTTATCTGGAGCTCAAGCTTTCCTCACAGAAACACAAGGGCATAAAGGTCCTCATGGCAAAGAAGAAGGAAACCATGTGGGAAACGCATAATATGAGTGGAGAGTATTGTAGTGGTCCTCAAGTCAGAAGAGCTGTTTATCCTGGAGCTAAAAAAGACTGACAGAGATAGAATAGTGTAGAACAAGATGGCCTGCTTTACAGGCGAGCCACTATCACACCACACCTGGAGAGATTCAGGCTGACGTCTATCTTAAACACTGGAGACAATTCAGAAGCTGCATGAGCAGTCTAAAGACTTAGCAAGAAACTAAAATGAGACTGGGCGCGGTGGCTCAGGCCTGTAATCCCTGCACTTTGGGAGGCTGAGGTGGGTGGATCTCCTGAGGTCAGGAGTTTGAGATCAGCCTGGCCAAGATGGCAAAACCCTGTCTGTACTAAAAATACAAAAATTAGCCTGGTGTAGTGGCACATGCCTGTAGTCCCAGCTACTCAGGAGGCTGAGGCAGGAGAATCGCTTGAACCCAGGTGCTGGAGGTTGCAGTGAGCTAAGATCGTACCACTGTACCCCAGCCTGGGCAGCAAAGGCAAAACTCCATCTGAGAAAAAAAAAAAAAAGAAAAACAAACAAAAAAAAAACAAGAAAAGAAACTAAAATGAGACAGAAATAGAAGGAATACACACACAGAAATGATCTCACCTTCTTTAAAATGCTCCTCAAGGAGGCCTACTTTAACTATCCTAGTAAAGGTGATATGATCCCACCCCCACATTCCCAATCTCTCTTATCCTGCTTTATTTTTTTATAGATTTATCCTCTTTTATTATAGTTAATTAAATAATTACATCCCATGTTTATTCTCTCTCTCCCTCAATGAAGTCGAGAATTTTTGTCCTATCTTCACCAATGGATACATAACAAATCTAAACTGTCCCTGGAACAAAAAGAGTCTCAATAAATATTTATCAAATGAATGAGTGAGCTAAACACCACTAAGAGTGTTACCACGAGGGGAAATTTCTGCCCTAATTCTCTACCAAGTTAAATGGTGCATCTTTAACTTGTCCTAAACTTACTCCAGGTTTCAAGGCTGCCCCTTGTTCTAATATACCAACTGTCTCAATCTGTTGGTATATATAGTTGGACAGCTATACCAAAAACTTATATAGACTGGGTGGATTCAATAAGCATTTAAGCTGGGTGCAGTGGTTCCCACCTATAGTCCCAGCTACTTGGGAGGCTGAGGCAGGAGTGCTGCTTGAGCCCATGAGTTTAAGGCCAGCCTGGGCAATATGGCAAGACCCTGTTCCTAAAAATCATTATTTCATTTCTAAAAACTAAGCATTTATTTTTCATAGTTCTGGTAGGTAGAGAGTCCAAGATCAAGGCAACTGCACATTCAGTGTCTGGTGAGGCTTGCTTTCTAGTTAAAAGACTTCAATCCTCACATCAGGGAAAAGGAGTGAAGGAGCTCTCCTGGTCTCTTTTCTAAAGGCACTAGTCCCATTCACAAGGGCTCTGCTCTCAGGATCTAATTACTTCTCAAAGGTCGTACCTTTGAGATCCTGTAGTAATTAGATCCTATAAATTTTCAACATATAAATTTGGAAGGATACATTCAGTCCATTGTACCAACACTGAATTTAGTAAGCACATCTGCTTAAACGATATCACTACTTGTTGATTTCATGTGCCTTCTCAATCCTCAGCTTTCTCTGATTAAGAATACCTGATTACTCTGCCCATTTCCTCTGCACCCTCCACCTTGGCCTTTCCACTCTCTATTACCACTATCTCTTGACTTCTTGGTCTCCACTATACTCCTCACCATCCCTGCTCCCTGGACTGTGAGCCCCTGTGAGCAGGGACCACCTATATCCACCCAAAACAATTTTTTTTAATGATTTTTTAATCTCTACTTGTACAGCAGTCAAGATTAATAAGAGTAGCAACGGTTAATGTATTTACAAAAACAGTTAACATGTTTATTTATAGATTTATTTACCATTTATTATCTTCTTTGGTCCTCAAAACAACTCTGTGAGGTACGTAGGCCCAATCGTATCGTTATCCCAAAGCATAAACACTTTAGGTTCAAAGAAATTCAGTGGCTTGTTTAAAAGCAGTAGGAAGTTGTTAGGAATTAGGCCTTTAGTCTGGATTATTTAACTCGAAATCTTTGTGCTAGTATTTTGACAACGTTAGTTTCCATTTCTGAATCTGACTCTATATTACTGAAAGTATCCAGAATCCAGAATTGTATATAGTACAAACCTAAAGTATTTTCCTTTTTTCTTTCAATATTCTTTTTCTCCCTATATTTTACTGAATTTGTTTTAGCTACTCTGGTATATTGAACCAGTATCTTTCTAGATAGCAGTATGCAATCTCTCCTTTTTGTTATTCTATATTCTGAGTTATTTGGCTATGAAAAATTAAGGTATTTCTTTAAGGGCATCTTTCCATGTTGAGATTTCCTGGCCTTTCACATAGACTTGGCAAGTTCTTCCGGTGATTTAATCTTACTGCCTTGATATTTCACTAGTTAAAAATATGCTGCCTGCACATATTGATATTTCATTGTGTATTTACAACAATAATTTGTGATAATGTCAAATAAGATAGGTCATGCACTGATCACTGAGGAATCATACTGGGTAGACTTCTTCATTCAGAGCCCATTAGTGCCTCTTGTTACTGCCTTGTACCCACTCCCATTTCTACACAAAACAGCCTTGTCTGCAGTCAAAATTTCAAAGTTCCCATTATTGTGATGCTTAGAGTGATAAACTACTTAAGGCCATCCTCTGTTAAGGCTCCCTGAATTTTCCTCTATTCACATTAACCACCAGTAACTAACCAGATAACTCTTCATTCAACATATACTCACCAAGATCATATTCTCCAAAACCCCACGTGCCACTCATCACCCAAGACCACTTTCAGAACATTACTCATCTTGCCACTTAATCACCACTCGTTGGAAGGTCACACCACCTGGCTACATACCCCTCCACTCTTCCTCACCTATGGATCTCAAGTGTTCCTTCCCTATTCTACAAAAACTCTGTCCCCTGAAGCAGTCTGCCTCTTTTTCTCAAATGATGCTGTCATTCTAATTTCCATAAGAAGGTAAAGAGTAACTCCATCTGTACGTCACCATCATCGAAGACCAAAGGTATATAAAACTACAAAGATGGCCACCAGCTCTCCATGGCCTTGCCCGTGTGTCTTGCCTAAGGCTTAACGCACAGGCATTTCATTGTGACAATACTGGAATTTTCTCTCTTGTTGAATTATATATGTAGGTCCTTTGTCCATTTATTGACTGTTAAATGCACAGTCTCCACAGGTAGGTAGACCCAGGCTACCCTATTCTGTGGTCTTGAGCAAGTTACATAAACTCTCTGTGTCTCAGTGTCCAGATGTGTAAAAAGGGATGTAGGAGTAAAGAGTAACTTTACCTTCTTATGGAAATAGTAGTATGTGTTGAAGTGAGTTAACTCTTCAAGCTTCCATTCTTAAATCCCTAATACCAATGCATACCTAACATTTCCAGGTACTGGTACTGTTTTATCATATCATTGATAAAAGATGAAGTGTTTATTAACCCCCAAAGAGGCAGTGTACCATACCAAGTGAGGACGAGGGATTTGCAACTGCTAAGGCCTGTGTTCACAGTCACTCACTCTCTATGAGACCCTGAGCAAGACACTTATCCTCAGTAAATTTCATTGTCCTTGCCTGTGAAATGGAGATAATAATAGTTCCTACCTTATTTAACATAGTGCCTCACTTATGATGCATGTCAGAAAATGTTAGCTATTATCTACACATGATTGTTATTACTGATATTAAAAAGTGAGTAAATATTACTTTTTACTGTCAGTTCTTAAATACCTTCATGACAGCTACTGCTGCTCCCCTAACTGTGGGTATTGCTTGTACAGAAAACAGAACATATATCTTCACTATAGGAGAAAAAGGAAGCCTCGTGTAACATTGCAGTGCAAAGTCATTCGTGTTGTGCAGCTTAAGTGTCAAAATCTTGATGTAAGACCCTATTTACTAATCAAAATTATGTCAGAAATAGTGAAATGTGTTAAGGCATGGACATCTGCCTATAAACAATTTAGAGTATTCTGACACAAAATATAGGATGATTTTAGTATTATTTTCTAATCTAAGTTTTTGGTTAGTATTAAAAGATGAGATTTGGTTATGATTTTCCTTTCAGACATCTTGCAAAGACATCAGGAACTTAAGGCAAATGATACCTTAAATTTCCAAATGCAAATTACTAATTTCTTTCAAAACAGATACTTAAACGATTAAGACAGTTTTTCTATTTTTTTTACTCTGCCAATTAGCAATAATGCACATGAAAAACCTAAAGAAGTGGCTATCCATGTACGTTCTCAAGGAGGCAGCAGCGTTCATCCCCAAACTCTGCAAACAAATGAAGAAAATAGCAGGTACCTGTATACATACTGAATTCAAAATGTTTTCAACAACTCAAATATCAAAAATGGAAACAAGACTTGAACATGATATTGTACTAGGAAGGTTATTGACACCAGAGAAGTTAGAAAGTACTTCAGGAGCTGGAAACTTCTTTATTTTTTTATAGGATGATTATTGTCATTTCCACTGATTTGGGGTGATCACTCTAAGTCAGTGCAGTGACAGTCACTACTCTTTCAAAGCATTCCTGTAATTTCCTGGATTTATGCTATGAAACTTTGAGAAGTAGTATGCTTTTCTTTTTCTTGTAGAACCCAAGCATTTGCTGCTTGTTTGTACCTCCAAGTCTTCCAGCTTCCCTTAAATGCACAGAGTCACTTTAATGTCCTCTGGAGACTTTCACTTTACCTCCCCAGCCTCCAACCCCCTTGATTTCTGACTTCCACTGAATTCTCTACTTCATTTGGCCTCTTTGACTGCCCCTTCTTTTGGTCCTCATTCCCTTGGGCTTATTAAATGCCTAACCTTTCATTCTACCTATTCAAAGCAGGCTTACTGCAAGCTGTTGTGTAGTACATATTGCTGAAGATTTGGGGTGAAAAGGGAAATTATACCATAATCGAAAGTGGTATATATCAATATTAGAAATCACTGAACTAAAAAATAACTGGCACACCAGGGACCCGAAAACTTCCACCTGTGAGCCAAATCCAGCTGGCCACTTATTTTTGTAAATAAAGTTTTACTGGGGCACAGCCACACGCATTCGTTTGTCTACTGTCTCTGGCTCCCTTTTATACTACAACAGCAGAGCTCAGTAGTTGCAACAGAGATCCCAAAAGCCAAAAGGATTTACTATCTGGCCCTTTAGTGGAAGACTTTGCTAACCCCTGAACTATATCATACTATGAGAAATTTCTCACTGGCTAGTTCCCCTTTTAACCTGGGCTTTCCATCCTCTTCCCAGGCCTCTCCCTCTCAGTGGATACGCCCCTCTTTTGTTCAAATCTTTACTGCATTCTCGAGGTATGCAGTAAATACAGGCATTTAGACTCTTGGGCTTCTTGCAAATACAAAGCTCCATTTTTCTTTAACATCCAGAACAATTTATTTGGCTCTGGCTTCCTTTGGCTATGCCCAAGAATCCTAAAATGTCCTACCCATAGTTCGGGGCATTTTCAGGAACAAGATCATCATATGCCCTAGAATACAATTAGGCCAGTCCTGTAGAAAGCAGAAGCAAAAGCACCACAGTCATTACTAAATTTCCTTTCTTTATGTCCCACCTCTTTCTCATATACATGCGCATTAATCTAAACCTGGCATGTTATACCTACACACATCAGAAATCCTAAATTCAACAGAGGACAGTGGAAGGGGCCACAAGAAAAGGAAGGAAAGAGAAAAAGGTATTTTATAGTTAATCAATATAAGTAGAAGCAATTCAAACTTTTCTAAACAAAAAATTACAGATTATGTCCTATTTTCTCCTATAATAGAAATGAATTTGCAATGCCCTGTTTATTATCTGTCTTCCTAGTCGCTTTGCTTCTAGCTTATCTGTCATTACTATTTATGAAAACAAATAAAATATGCAATGCTTTTTTGAAATTCAGGATTGATATTTTACTTTTTGAAGCTTTAATGTCTGTCCTGATTCTTCTCAGATGGGCATTTGTATACACTGGGGGATACATGGTTAATGCTAATGTACCAACGGGATATAAAAATCATAAGATGAAAATGGCATGGTTTCCTAGAGAATATATTTTTCTAATGTTACTCCAATTGTTCAAATAAAAATTGTATTATTTCAACATTAACACAAACACATTTATAAGGGAGCAAAAGACAAATAATGCAGGAAGTTTAAGATAAAATAAGATAGAAAATATTGTGTTTTCAGGGATGCTTTAACCTATATCTCCAAAGTTCTTGGGTGAGGCATTCATTTTCCTTTACTATCAGAGTGCTGTGGGGGAAAAGTCAGGCAGAACTGATTCAGGGCCAGCTGTGTGGCCACCCATTTACAAACAGACAAAATAACAGCAGACTGTGAGAACAACAGCCAAGAGTCCATTTTAAAAATATTCCACAATGATAAATTGTTTGATTTAGCCTCATTCCTGTCAGATTACCTGCCTCAAATACTTTTCCCTTTCTTTCTATCTAAATTCCCTGAACCCAGCTCAGAATTCAGTCAACCAAGATGCTCTCCCAAACAACTCTAGTCCAAAATGGTGTCTCTCTTTGAAACTCACGTTTCCTGACTACACCGTTTAAAAAATAAACTACTTTATTTTGTTTTTCGGTTCCAAGATGGCCGAATAGGAACAGCTCCAGTCTACAGCTCCCAGTGCAAGTGACGCAGAAGACGGGTGATTTCCGCATTTCCAACTGAGGTACCGGGTTCATCTCATGGGGCCTTGTCGGACAGTGGGTGCAGGACAGTGGGTGCAGCCCACCAAGCGTGAGCCGAAGCAGTGCAAGGCATTGCCTCACCCGGGAAGCACAAGGGGTCAGGGAATCCCCTTTCCTAGCCAAGGGAAGCTGTGACAAATGGCACCCAGAAAATTGGGTCACTCCCACCCGAATACTGTGCTTTTCCAATGGTCTTAGCAAACGGCACACCAGGAGATTACATCCTGGGCCTGGCTCAGGGGGTCCTACGCCCACGGAGTCTTGCTCATTGCTAGAACAGCAGTCTGAGATCGAACTGCAAGGTGGCAGCAAGGCTGGGGGAGGGGCGCCCACCATTGCTAAGGCTTGAGTAGGTAAACAAAGTGCCTGGAAGCTCCAATGGGGTGGAGCCCACTGCAGCTAAAGGAGGCCCGTCTGCCTCTGTAGACTCCACCTCTGGGGACAGGGCATAGCCAAACAAAAGGCAGGAGAAACCTCTGGAGATTTAAATGTCCCCGTCTGACAGCTTTGAAGAGAGTACTGGCTCTCCCAGTATGGAGTTTGAGATCTGAGAACGAACAGACTGCCTCCTCCATTGGGTCCCTGACCCACAAGTAGCCTAACTGGGAGGCACCCCCAAGTAGGGGCAGACTGACACCTCCCACAGGCGGGTACCCCTCTGAGACGAAGCTTCCAGAGGAATGATAGGGCAGCAACATTTGCTGTTCAGCAATATTTGCTGTTCTGCAGCCTCCACTGCTGATACGCAGGCAAACAGGGTCTGGAGTGGACCTCCAGCAAACTCCAACAGACCTGCAGCTGAGGGTTCTGACTGTTAGAAGGAAAACCAACAAACAGAAAGGACATCCACACCAAAACTCCATCTGTACGTCACCATCATCGAAGACCAAAGGTACATAAAACTACAAAGATGGGGAAAAAACAGAGCAGAAAAGCTGAAAATTCTAAAACTCAGAGCACCTCTCCCCCTCCAAAGGAACACAACTCCTCACCAGCAATGGAACAAAGGTGGATGGAGAACGACTTTGAAAAGTTGAGAGAAGAAGGCTTCAGACAATCAAACTTCTCAGAGCTAAAGGAGGAAGTTCGAACCCATCGCAAAGAAACTAAAAACCTTGAAAAAAGATTAGAAAAATGGCTAACTAGAATAACCAGTACAGAGAAGTCCTTAAATGACCTGATGGAGCTGAAAACCATGGCATGAGAACTATGTGACGAATGCACAAGCTTCAGTAGCTGATTTGATCAACTGGAAGAAAGGGTATCAGTGACTGACAATCAAATGAATTAAATGAAGTGAGAAGAGAAGTTTAGAGAAAAAAGAGTAAAAAGAAATGAACAAAGCCTCCAAGAAATATGGGACTATGTGAAAAGAACAAATCTCATCTGATTGGTGTACCTGAAAGTGAGTGGGAGAATGGAACCAAGTTGGAAAACATGCTGCAGGATATTACCCAGGAGAACTTCCGCAACCTAGCAAGGCAGGCCAACATTGAAATTCAGGAAATACAGAGAATGCCACAAAGATACTCCGCTAGAAGAGAAACTCCAAGACACATAATTGTCAGATTCACCAAAGTTGAAATAAAGGAAAAAATGTTAAGGGCAATCAGAGAGAAAGGTCAGGTTACCCACAAAGGGAAGCCCATCAGACTAATAGCAGATCTCTCGGCAGAAACTCTACAAGCCAGAAGAGAGTGAGGGCCAATATTCAACATTCTTAAAGAAAAGAATTTTCAACCCAGAATTTCATATCCAGCCAAACTAAGCTTCATAAGTGAAGGAGAAATAAAATCCTTTACAGACAAGCAAATGCTGAGAGATTTTGTCACCACCAGGCCTGCAGTACAAGAGCTCATGAAGGAAACACTAAACATGGAAAGGAACAACCGGTACCAGGCACTGCAAAACCATGCCAAATTGTAAAGACCTTTGATGCTAGGAAGAAACTGCATCAACTAACGAGCAAAATAACCAGCTGACATCATAATGACAGGATCAAATTCACAGATAACAATATTAACCGTAAATGTAAATGTGCTAAATGCCCCAATTAAAAGACACAGACTGGCAAATTGGATAAAGAGTTAAGACTCATCAGTGTGCTGTATTCAGGAGACCCATCTCATGTGCAGAGACACACATAGGCTCAAAATAAAGGGATAGAGGAAGATCTACCAGGCAAATGGAAAACAAAAAAAGGCAGGGGTTGCAATTCTAGTATCTGATAAAACAGACTTTAAACTATCAAAGATCAAAAGAGACAAAGAAAGCCATTACATAATGGTAAAGGGATCAATTCAACAGGAAGAGCTAACTATCCTAAATATATATGCACCCAATACAGGAGCACCCAGATTAATAAAGCAAGTCCTTTAAGAGACCTACAAAGAGACTTAGACTCCCAAACAATAATAATAATGGGAGACTTTAACACCCCACTGTCAACATTAGACAGATCAACGAGACAGATAGTTAACGAGGATATCCAGGAATTGAACTCAGTTCTGCACCAAGTGGATCTAATAGACTTCTACAGAATTCTCCACCCCAAATCAGCAGACTATACATTCTTCTCAGCACCACATCACACTAATTCCAAAGTTGACCACATAGTTGGAAGTAAAGCACTCCTCAGCAAATGTAAAAGAACAGAAATTATAATAAACTGTCTCTCAGACCGCAGTGCAATCAAACTAGAACTCAGGATTAAGAAACTCACTCAAAACTGCTCAACTACATGGAAACTGAACAACCTGCTCCTGAATGACTACTGGGTACACAACGAAATGAAGGCAGAAATAAAGATATTCTTTGAAACCAATGAGAACAAAGATACAACATGCCAGAATCTCTGGGACACATTTAAAGCAGTGTGTAGAGGGAAATTTATAGCACTAAATGCCCGCAAGAGAAAGCAGGAAAGGTCTAAAATCGACACCGTAATATCACAATTAAAAGAACTACAGAAGCAAGAGCAATCACATTTAAAAGTTAGCAGATGGCAAGAAATAACTAAAATCAGAGAAGAACTGAAGGAGATAAAGACACAAAAACCCTTCAAAAAATCAATGAATCCAGGAGCTGGTTTTTTGAAAAGATCAACAAAATTGATAGACCGTTAGCAAGACTAATAAAGAAGAAAAGAGAGAAGAATCAAATAGATGCAATAAAAAATGATAAAGGGGATATCACCACTGACCCCAATACAAACTACCATCAGAGAATACTATAAACACCTCTACGCAAATAAACTAGAAAATCGAGAATAAATGGATAAATTTCTGGACACATACACCTTCCCAAGACTAAACCAGAAGAAGTTGAATCCCTGAATAGACCAATAATAGGCTCTGAAATTGAGGCAATAATTAATAGCCTACCAACCAAAAAAAGTCCAGGACCAGACGGATTCACAGTCGAATGCTACCAGAGGTACAAGGAGGAGCTGGTACCATTCCTTCTGAAATTGTTCCAATCAATAGAAAAAGAGGGAATACTCTCTAACTCATTTTATGAGGCCAGCATCATGCTGATACCAAAGCCTGGCAGAGACACAACAAGAGAAGAGAATTTTAAACCAATGTCCCTGATGATCATCGATGCAAAAATCCTTAATAAAATACTTGCAAACCAAATGCAGCAGCACATCAAAAAGCTCATCTACCATGATCAAGTGGGCTTCATCCCTGGGATGCAAGGCTGGTTCAACATACACGAATCAATAAACGTAATCCAGCATATAAACAGAACCAAAGATAAAAAACCACATGATTATTTCAATAGATGCAGAAAAGGCCTTTGACAAAATTCAACAGCCCTTCATGCTAAAAACTCTCAATAAATTAGGTGTTGATGGGACGAAACTTAAAATAATAAGAGCTATTTATGACAAAACCACAGCCAATATCATACTGAATGGGCAAAAACTGGAAGCATTCCCTTTGAAAACTGGCACAAGACTGGGATGCCCTCTCTCATCACTCGTATTCAACATAGTGTTGGAAGTTCTGTCCAGGGCAATCAGGCAGAAGAAAGAAACAAAGGGTATTCAATTAGGAAAAGAGGAAGTCAAATTGTCCCTGTTCGCAGATGACATGATTATATATTTAGAAAATCCCATTGTCTCAGCCCAAAATCTCCTTAAGCTGATAAGCAACTTCAGCAGTCTCAGGATACAAAATCAATGTGCAAAAATCACAAGCATTCTTATACACCAATAACAGACAAACAGAGAGCCAAGTCATGAGTGAACTCCCATTCACAATTGCTTCAAAGAGAATAAAATACCTAGAAATTCAACTTACAAGGGATGTGAAGGACCTCTTCAAGGAGAACTACAAACCACTGCTCAACAAAATAAAAGAGGACATAAACAAATGGAAGA